GATGATATCACAGCCTATTCACAGGGTATTCTTCACAAAGTTGTGAAGTTTCTACTTAGGGAATACAATTTGAACTTTTACATGAAATATCCTGCTGCACAAGTATGCCTTATAGTTAGTTCATCTACTAAGTCATCAGAGGAAAACAGGGAAGTGTAGTGTCAACCTGTCACTGAAAGGCACAATAAATATATGTGCCAAAAGAATTACACACATATATGCTATAAAAATCTCTCAAAGTTTTAATATCATATGAGAGATATCATTAGGAAAAATCAAACAAAAAAAACCTCTTGGTAAAAGTTATTTCAATTTAAGACCCTACTAGATCAAAATTTCAATTCAAAATTGCATGTTTAGTCCAAAACTTGCGGATATCATTTTAGGTCAGGATTATCAGTTAAACTGGTTTAAAAAATATGATGCAAAGTCTACACAGGGGGCTTAGAAAGAACAGCAAGAACACAGGTAATTTCTGGGTTGAAGACACATTGTGTTAACAATGGAGGATCTTCTAAAATTTAACTGTCAACACATTTCAGGCTACTTTATAATGTCTAGTTATGCTACCCGATCCATATGTGACCATCTGGAGATTTGTTTTGCCCCACTGATTTTGAGTTCTTCATTGCTCAATTACCTGTATGTGTACATATTTGTGTGCCCTCTAATACCTGATTTCTGTATTTCATATATTCTGCTAAGTCTGCTGAGACACTAAAAGTGTTCACGCAGTGCCCTTGATTCCATGCCATTTTGCAGTATAATCTGATGCCGGATGTGTCTATGATAAATTTGATCAGTGGTGCTATTTATATATGGATAGATAGACAGCCCTATATATAGTGAAATGAAAGTTTAAACTATCTTAAACAAAATTGCTTCATTTGATAGCAGAACAAGTGACTAGAGTTTTCAAAGGTAAGAGTTTTGCTAAGATTTTAGAAAATAGACAGTAAGCATAAAGGTTATATTCCACCTCCCCTACTCCCTGAAAATGAATGGGTATTTGAAAAATAATTCAACAGCAGTAAGTCCATTTCTGTTGATCATATATTGAAAGGAAATTTTTTTGGAAATATAAATAATTTGGTATGCATTAAAATACATTCTGTAGTCTTTCTTTACATTGACTCTAAATTTTAATTGAGAGCTCCTGACTGAAAAAAATAGGCAACTTATTATTAACTATTATTTGAAGATCATTTATGAAATATAATATCATTGTAATGGTGGCTTGCAGTATTGACATTTTTCTCTTTTTTTGTATCCCTTTCACAAGCCACAGGAAAAAAATCCTCTTTAGTATAAAATAATGAACTTTTTCAAATGTCCTGGATTTCTGAAGTAGCTAATACACCCAAATCTATAGTTTGTAAGCAACTGAAGCCTCAAATTGCATATACTCTTAAGAGTATTACAAATTAAAACTGCAATTGTAAAAGCAAAATTAAGTGAGAGAAATTAAGTGCTTAAAATATTTTTAATTTATAATATATACTAGTACACATTATTCCAGCTTTTACTCTTTATCATCATTCTTATTATACATAGATTCCTTACTATCATATATTCCTGTTTTACTTAGCAACACGTTGTAATACAGAATTCTGCATTTTTATGGCCATATTTAATCTATGTTAATTATTTAAACCTTAAAAATCACCAGTCTGCAACTAAAATACTATCATCTAATTTTCTTTTTATCTTAGTAATATGCCCATTGCTTCCTTTTACGTAAATAAATACTTTCTTGAACTATTTGACTTCTGTTTTTTAAATGAAACAAATTTCCTTCTTTAACCAGAAGTCTGCTATAAACGTAAGTCACCTGGGAGCCTGGCCAAAGTCTGAAACAGCACAGCTGAAGGGTACAGCCATTTCACAGGGTCCTCTCAGAGAGTATTTGGTTTGCTTTCCTAACTTTCTAAAAATAGTGGATTACACAGGCTACCTCCATCTCATGGTCCAACAACTTAGAAAAGGCTGGACTATGGATTTCAGCAATACATAGAACACATTTTATTAAAGAAGCGAGGATATTACAAGTTTTCTAAATGTTTTCTGTTTACTCTCTGAGACAATGCAAATGATGTAGCGGTTACTGGCATGAAAATCTCATAATGCTCCCAAATATCAGAACTTCAAGCATGAATCATACAGTTACTTTAACAGTTTTGAAATATGTTTTTGATCTATTTTAGCCACAAAATTGAATACAGGAAGACTGCTACCTCAAAGTAGGATTCTAAATACTGTACTAAGAATCATATAATGTGGTCAGTTATATACATATATATATGCACACACATGCAAGAAACATGTTTTTTTAAACATGAATACTTAATTGTATATTCAAAATTATTTTAATTAATTTTTGACATAGTTTTTTCACCAACATTTAAGGAGCTATTGTCCAAGGTATGAAGATCTACCATAAATAAATTTATTTTTTCCTCTTATTCAAATCTAAAATATTTTACCAAGTTTTAGACACTATAAACTTAATTCAGTTTCTCTTAGACAAAGGACAAAGTTTTAGCTGCTATAACTGCTATACATAAATTTAAAAATCTTTAAATTACGTTAGTTTAAAAAAAAAAAGTCCTTCATGTGGTAGCTGAATCTTGTAAACCACATAGCATGTCATTAAGAAATGTTGCTGCTTTACTCAAAAAGGGACTGTTCTATAGCCACAAGTGAGCAGCAACTAAAAAAATATTTTGAGATAGAAAAATAGCAACTGAATATTAATGTTTCACAATGTTTCCAAATGCTGTAGAGGCAGGTCTTCTGTGAAACCACTCAATGTCACAGCCAAATTTAATGTCCTTCATTTTGCAGCTACGAGTGCACCATCAACTGTCTGTAGGATTAAAAATTGGATTTACTATTAATTGGGTCAAAACAGGGTTACTTATGGACACAGCTGGTTACCGACAAGAGTAATTAGCTCTTTGCCCCTCATTTTATGGGTCCCAGTCTGTAATTATACCTGGATTCAGTCAGCATGAATTTAGGAACACACATTCACAAAGGTACAGCCACTGTGCCCTTCATCAATGCCTTTCAAAGGAAAGGGTGAAAAAAGGCCCAGGGGTAGTTTATCACTTTTGCTTATTGATTTTTAGATTAAGACATGAAGAATAATCTAACATTTTAAGATATTTTTATTATTGTCAATACCTTCATTTCATCTGACTCTAAAGATGAAATCTTTAGAATCTTTGGCAAAAACTTTAGCAGAGCGAGAAGCACAAACTGGACCAAGAGGCAATTAACTGAAACAGTTAACTTATAAGTCACCCTGATGTTATTAAGGAAAGCATTATTATAGCACTCTTTTTTTATTCAAAAGACAACATGGATTTATGAGACTTTTACTTCTCTATTTATGTAGAAGTGATAGTGATCCCCTCCTAAAAGGTTCAAAGAACTAACCTGGGGCATTAGTATTCAAAAGCAATTTGATTAAACCAAGTAGGTTGAGAGTACCCAGGAACACATTTTTAGTCTTGACCTTGCATGTCAAAATAAAGAAATCCATGCTATCTTTTAAAAGACCAGTTTTCAAACTTGATACTTGAATTACAAATCTAATGACATTTTTGAATGTCGAGAAATACTGAAGTAAATCTTTCAGCATTATTGTGCCCACAAAAGCTAACTTTTAGCATTTCTGGCTGAGACTCTTACAAATAAAAAATAATCAGAGTCTAACAGAAAATAAACTAAGTTAATTCACAATAGAATTTTTGAAGCTGAAAATAGCCAACGAATAACAGTACTTAAGAGTTTCTACTTATTTATAAAACTCACATTCAACAAAGTTCGTGCCTGAGGTAAGGTACTGTAACAGCAGTTCAGAACTTTATTTCTAGTTATATTTTTTACAAAATGCATGGCTCTGGCCTTCAAAAAAAACATGCCCGCAAAATAAAATGTCAAAATAAGAGTAAAAAGTTTATATAAGTTGAACTGATTTAAAATCTGCTGTACTTTTACAATGGTACAGCACCTTTACCAACAAACAAAAACAAATCATCTTCATTCAGCTATTCCCATAGCCTTATACACAATATATGCATATGCTAAACACACACATGTATCTACATTTACCATTCCCCGAGACAGATACTGACTGTGCTATTACAAAGTAAAAAGTACGTCAACACTTTCTGTCCTAACATAAAGTCATGGAGTTAAAGGACTCATAAAGTTATCATAACAAACGCAGTTTGGCCAGACTTGGTTCTACTGCTTCTCATAAAGTTCCCCAGCCCAACATCACCAATAAGAACACGCTGTGTAACTAAACTATTAACAAAGCAATCCATAATTCCAAACTCAGAGGACTGTATGCCCATATCCCCTTTTCCAATTATTGTATATCCTTAAAAGAATATAATATTTACTCACTTTCAATGAATCAAAGCAGGCGATTACTCGTCCATTTTCAACTTGGCAGCTTTTCGAAGGATGTGCAAATTTACATTCCGTGTCTGGCCGTGAGCAAGTCCCCCTTTGGAACTCTCTACAGACTTCCAGTGTTAGCCATTTTGTGTCCCGAATTGGTGTGACACTAACAGCCATGTTTAGATTTTACAGGTAGTTAAATTTTTCAGTGAAACCAACAAACCCAACCCCCCCAAAAAAAGAGCAACCAAAAAAAAAAAAAAGCTGAACTGATAAAACTGTAAAATGATGATGAAAATGTCCCCTCCAAAATACTTTTCCCCCACTCCCTGCTTTAATCGTACATGGAAAATTGTGTTGTCAATATTAAGGAAAAGATCTCCCACTAGAAATTCACAGCATGAAACTGTTAATTCAAAGATGTTTTGGTTTTTAGACAAATAGTAGGATTGTAAGTAGATGAACGTTTAAAAGTAGGGCCTGGAATCAGCCTTGTGCTCTCACAGTAAACCCTTCCCAGTGCCAATTTGGAGCCCAAAATGCAAGCATGAAAATGTGGCAGACCCTTTTGACACCGAATTTCCAAGCTGCTTTCAGCAAAGTTGTCTGAAAGGGAATCTCCTCACAGCTGAATTTGCAATGGAGTTTGGTGGTGCAATCGGTATTGATTAGTTTGGCATAGACAGATGCAGCAGTTTAGAGCAAAATCGAGAAAATGATTTTTTTTCCTCCTTGATTTCCTGGCAGAAGATATCTTACTTTTTCAGCAAACTTTTCTTTAAACACTAAAGCAGCCTAGGGCAATGCCAGATACTTAGAGCTTTTCTCTTGATTATAAGTAGAAATGGGGGTGTCTGGGCTAGAGGTGGAGGGTGGATGTGCTGTCGTCACAGTCTAGCTGGCAGCAAGCAAGGCAAAAGCAGAGACTGCTCTAGAAGCGGTTCCAAGCAGCAGAGACGTCAGGAAAGGCACTTCTTAGTACCAACCTGTAGAAAAAAGAGATAGGTTAAGATTTACTAAGTAGCACTTCACTGATGTCCTATAGTACCACAACCTTGCCATGTGATACTAGACTAAGTAATATTCAAGTCAGCCCCTCTCTTTTCCTCTCTCTCTCTCTCACACACACACACAAAATACTTACAGTGAGGCATATTGCAGCCAGCCATCGTAGATTTATTAAAAAAAGGGGCCGTTTCCCCTTGTGAAGCAATGCATGATAGAGAGATAACCAATCACAGATAGTGTTGCAGCAATATTCTGGGCAGAAAGCCAATAGTGTGGGTTGTCTTATGAAAGGTCGCGCCTGTCAGACGTTCATTACTATGCTATAAGCACAAAAAATGTCCATCAGATGTGACTTATTCCACTGCAAGAGGACGAGCATGTGGGTTTTGAATTTACCCAACATGCAGTTAGTGGGCTAAACCATGTTAGTTTCAAAACAGCTTCTAAGACAAGTCCAAGCACTTGAAGATCATTACAGGGGAATAAAAAGCAAGGTTTAAAAATTGCTGCTGACTTCTAAGCTGCTTTCCCTCCCGCTCTGCGCGGGGACGGGCACTGAACAGCCTGCTCCTGCTGTCCTGACACGTGAATAAAAAAGGAAAGGGGTGTTTACAAATGGTACATTCTCCTGACCTATCCAATTCACTTCCTTCTAAAGCCCAAGTCCTGCCCCTCCACTGAAAGCTGCACTCATACTGTAAAACTATTCCATTGAGCCGGCAGACACTTTGTCAATATATCACAGGCAGGCGAGATATGAACAAAAGCATCCTTTATTTCAACATTTTAAAAGCAGAAGCTGAGGTCATGTGGAGAAAATAAGGAATGCAGTGTTGTCAGCGTGTCTGGTAAATCTGAAGTCAACCTCAAGGGAGAAAGTGATTCCATTGCAGAAACATTAAATATTAAGTGAGCAATTTGATTTGGGCAGCGTGATGCACTTCAGAAGTACAATTCCAAATGAAGCCAGAGGGTTGGGGGTGAGGGATTCCCTATTGCCTAACGATCTATCAACTCGGCACTATAAGACTACTCCTTAGAGCAGGGCATTTTTACTTTTAACAACTTACTTTCTCTTTCAATCAGAATGAAGAATTTTCAAAAAATTTTTACTAGTTACAGAAACGAAAGTAGACATTTTTCTTTTGAATGTTGTCAATGAAGAATGCAAAGCTTTAAAAGCTAAAATTTTCACATTTCAAAGAAGCAATGACACAACGTAACAGAGTTTGATTACACTTACTTTATTGGCCAAAAATGGTCTATTGGCATATGGTATACTTATAATTTTGGAAATTAGAATATAGAATATGAGTATATATTAAAAAACAAAAATATCTAGTAAAATTTAAACTTTTATTTTAAGATGAATACTGTCATTTTAACACTAATTTTTTAAGCTACTTTCTAAAACTATTTGGAAAATACTGTAGAGTAAGACTACAACTTTTGATAGAGATTAAAAAATCCATCTCACCTTGGTATTCAAGAAATATTTTTGTTTTCAAAAAGTTTTCAGGTCCTAATGCCTGGTTCCGTAAAAACATAGTCAGATCCAGTCATAAACTCTAAGCTCTGTGTGTCTTCCTGAATATTTGCTCTGCATTCACAATTTCTCTGTGACTTCATTTCTTGAGAATGGATCACATGCATGGTCGACAATCTCTTTAGTCCTTCTCTCCAGAATTTTCAAATGCCTCACCTGCAACCATTTACCTTCTTTAAAGCCAGCTAAGATGTCACATCCTCCAAAAAGCTACCAAGGTGTCATTTCCTACATCTCTACCCACCCATATATTAATGCTACCTTTTCTAAATTACCTCTGTACCTATTCCTTGCATAGTGTTTTATTGTCTTATATGTCTGACCCACTAGATGATATGTTCCCAAGGATAGAAACTATTATTTATCTCAGCCCAGTGCTTAGTACAGTGATGAAAAATAGATGGGAGTTTCATAAACATTGGTAAATTAAATTATCAATTAATACATCAGTACTTGGATTGCCTCTGGGGCATAAAATATATAAACATACATGAACATACTCATATAAACACACAAATACAACACATGAACACACTCAAACGCATACTCGAAAACACACACAGATCGTTGTCTCTATAAATTACTATGTTCCAGAGTCACACATGCCCTCCTACTGACTCAGAATCTCCCGCTAGCCTTGGACAGCTCCCTCTCTCATTCCACACAATGGCTTTTCCAAAATTTCATCACTCTCAAGTCCTTCCACCTCCATGTTCCTCTAACTACCCACAGCAGATGATCCTGTATGTCACAAAAATTTCATAGCTGAAACAGTAGCCCTTGGGCATGAACCATTCCTTACCTTCCTGGCCATCTTTTACACTATCTTTCTTTTCATTCTTCCAGTTCTCCCTCCTCCTGCCCACGGTGAATCTTCCACAAGCTTCCACCTTGCCTCATTCCTTCTCACGCCCTCTTTCCCTTCACTTTCACTCTATACATGCACACACTGCCTTCCCACCACTTCTTTCTCTTAGCTTTCCAATGTGCTGAAGTAACTCCAAAATGGATAGGAGGAAGGAGACCTGGCCCTGGCTACGCCTCCTCTCCCTAACACTCTTAATGCGTCATTCCCAGACAAATAACTAAAGAGTCATCTATTTACGTGTGCTTTCTTTCTGCTTCTTCCTCTCCCATTCACTTCTGAATCCCTATCAGTCTGATTTTCACACCCATTACTTTACTGCTCAGCAAAGATCGTCAAAGCTGTCATAAAAGCCAAATTCAAAGACTATGTTTAGTCCTTGTATTTACTTGAACTCTAAGACGATTTACAGCTCCCTCTTTCTTGAACCTTCTCCCTTGTATGAACTGACACATTTTATCATTTTGCTTCTTCCAGTGCTGTACCTCTTGAATCCTGGTAGAGAGGAGATCCTCAGGGTTATTGGCATAGGTCACGATGTTGTGAGCTCCTGGGATTTGTTAAATGCTAACCTTTGTTTGGTTTGACACATACTTCCTCACCCCTGCAACTTGGCAAATCCTTTCCCCTCTTTTAAATTGCTATTCAAAAATCACCTTCTCTATATGGATGGGCCAACTATACTAAACATGACTGCATCTCAGAATGTTTTCGGTACTTTGTATCTCAATACAGTATTTTCAGTACTCTTTGTTCCCCCACCAAGGTTATAAACTCCCTGACAACAAGGTATATCCCCAATGTCCTGCATTCCCCAATTCTAGGGACACAGACATTTTTTAAATGTTTGACAAATGAATAAACTTTATTCATACTAATAGGAATAAACACATATGAGGATGTGTTCCCAACTCAGAGGAAATGTTTAATCATGATCTATGGGGTTAAAACATTTTCTATGAGGAAAATGATACCACAAGAACTATCTGCATTGCTTGGTTGGTTATGTCTAAATACAATCACAAGATTAATTTCTACAGTTGATAATTTTACCTTCTGCCATGCTACAGGCTTAGTCCCACTCAAGTACAAAATGTAATTACAAAAATGTTTGCACTTAGTGTTCTGATTATTTTAATTTCTGTAGCAGAGAAATTCTATTTACTTCAAGTGTTATTAAAATAGTTATAAACATATTTGTAAGTTGACTATACTATTTAACTGTAAAGGATACAGACAAGGATGGTAATCAAAATATCTTCAACTAGCCAGGCATGGACAATGAGCAACTAGAATGGACGTGGATCTTTATGCATGATTAGTCTAGCTGGACCTGGTAATATGTGTACCATTCTTTGATATAGGGCACTGTGGGTAATGAACTGATTACATCCTATAAATTGATTTGACTAAATTGCTGACATCAGATGATTGTCTTGTATTCTTTCTCTTTATTTAAAAAGAAGAATTTCAAGGAAAAATGAGAATCTCTATAATTGTTTTAGTAAATTAAGATTTTATAGAATTTAGATCAGTATACAATTCTCATATCATTACTTCAACTAGTAATGGGTTTTTGTTCTATAGATCAAGACAATGTTTAAACATGTGTGGGTAACGTCCAGATTGTGAGAATTCTTGCTAACATATATGGCCTAAAAATAAGTTTTGTTTGTAAATAATTATTGAAAGCAATATTTCTACTTTCCAGCTATTTACTAACAGGTAAATTACTTCTGAGGTATATCTCTGAATTTCAGTATATTACAATGAACTTTTATGAACAATAAAAATACTATTTATATGAATCAAACTTTCTGAAACTTGCTTAATAACAAGCTTTCTTTAATACACTGATCAAATTCCAAACATGATAGTTTCTTGCCTTCTATGACATTTTCTACAAACAAGCATATTCTGCTACAAGAACCAATTTCTCCTTCAGAGATATCAGAAATCAGGTACATATTCTACTTTAAGATAGATATAAGGGGGAAAATAGAAAAGAATGAAGAAAATGTGAAATGACAGAAATAATGAAAACCAAGAAAAGGATGAAAGATAAAGAAAAAAACAAAATCATGGGAAATTACAAGAAATTATTCTTATAGCCATTAATATATATTAGTTGAATGGCACTGAACTGACACACTGGATGGCTTTATATAAATATGTATTTAAGAGTCACATATATACTGCAATAGAAGATAAATTAGATGCTTGCAAGGTATGAAAATGAAATTCTATTTTGGAGAACTGGATGGCTTCTATAAGCAAGGTTAAATTTCCTAGTTACATATGTTTACTGACCATTTCAGTTCTTCTAAATCAAATATAGGCAGCTGGTCCAGTTACATACCAGAGTAGTTGGCTGGGAATTTCGGAGACTTTCTAAAATATGATTTTGATGTTGAAGTAGGTTATGTATAGGAAGTTAATAATTATTTGAGGTCTTTTATTATGATTTTTATTTACTAAGAGAGTATTAACCTAACCGAAGAAGTGGTTAACTTCACCCTGTAAGTTTGGAGGTAAAAAGAAGGGGCTCCTTGCCCAAAACCATAACT